ACTATAAGTTATGAACTGTTCTCTATGTTTCTGTTTGTTTTTTTAATTCTGGGTCTCATGGGAGCAACGCTATATATATATATATATATATATATATATATATATATATATATAAATTACGATGATGATATAAATGTGTTTTAATTACGAGATCGTGGTTGTACACCGTAAAAAGTACCGAAAAAATTATCAAAAGTATACATCATAGAGAAATTACAGTGATATCATAAGTGAGAAATTAAGTGAATAAAAATATAGAAGACTGGATTGCTTTTTAATCGCTAATTCGTCCATATTTATATATATATATATATATATATATATATATATATATATATATATATATATATATAAAAGGGTGTTCCAATAACTTGGACCGATTTTAAATGTGAATTAAGTTTAAGCGTCTAATGATTTTTTTCCTTTTCTTTCAGATTTAAAAACTTTAGTCTTTGGCAATTTCAACCATCACACAACGTGTTAAAGTTATCGAAGCCTATTACAAAAATGAACATGCAAACAGAATTTGAATTAGAAGTTCCCATCATCTCTCGAAACAGCGAAGTCAATTGGCCACCACGCTCGTGTGACGTGTGACTTGACTCCTTTAGATTTCTTCCTTTGGGGTCATCTCAAAAGTAAGGTCTATGCCAACAAGCCAACAACAATTCAACACCTGAATGATGAGATAATAAGGTCTATTGGTGAGATCGAGGCGCAACTATGCAGAGACGTCATCAAAAATTTCGACTATCGAGTGGAGGTGTGCCGCCGAAGCCTTGGCGGTCATTTGGATGATATTATTTTTCACAGATAATTGCCGTGACTTAAATAACATGATCCAATAGAGAAATAAATACATTTTCACCAATAACACTGATTTATTTACTACTGGCTTTGAACCGTCTTAATGAAACAGCATTTATATATGTGCGAGTGTGGTGTGTATGTAGGTCTATATATATATATATATATATATATATATATATATATATATATATATATATATATATATATATATATATATCTGTAAAATTAATATATATATATATATATGTGTGTGTGTGTAAAATTATATATATATATATATATATATATATATGTGTGTGTGTGTGTGTGTGTGTGTGTGTGTGTGTGTGTAAAAAATTAAATATGTTCCGTTATGTTTCTTCTGCTATGAATTTCATGAAATTGCATTTCCTCTTCAGGAGATTTGATTTATTTACGGGAATTCAAATATTCCTTAAAGGACACTAAAGTCAGAATTGAGATCTGATAAATGAAAATATTTAACTTTATTTTTTTATTATCTATCCCTTGATAACCTGAACTATACTTACAAAATCAGCTTACCCTAAAAACGTTATCTTTCTGAACTAGTTTGGTAGACTGATTCTGGCGGTATACAATCTTCGTTATATAGGGTGCTCTATAATGATGGAACGCTGCAGTTATATTGGATTATAAAAACGGCATAGAGTACAAAATATATTTATTAAATAATTGATATATATTGTCTATGATGTTGCTATTTCTTACAGGTATCTGATATCTTTTGATGGACGGTGGGACGTTATAATGTCTACGGCGTTCACGCTAAATTTGACAGAATTTAAAGTTTTAATTTGTTTTCAAATTTCTTAGGAATATCTGTAAACAGATAACCACTATAGTTTTAGAGGTGTCAAAGTTAACTGACATGGGCGTGTGGAAGCCACTTGAATATTGGAAAAGGATAACCAGTATCATGATGATTCGTGCTGGGCGTCAAAATGCCACAATTATCACAATAGTTCAATGCTCTTTGAACACTACGAAAAGAATAAGACGTGAAGTAGAGGGTTGCAACAGACTACAAGATCGTGGCTTGCAGGAAAGAACACAGATGTTTTGATTGTCTTTGTACCCCAGAATCCATCCAACAACAGCAGGGAAGAGTGATGGAAAACACAGGTTCGCATTGGCACTGGAAATGGGTGTTGCAATTTCCACCATGAAGCTGGCCTTGAATAAGAACCGCCACTACCATTCATTCAAGAGGCGTAAAGGTCAACTTCTTACAGAAAAGGCTTGAGAAAACAGTCTGACAAAAGCAAAGAAACTACTGAACAAGATGAAACATCCTGTTGAACCAGGGACAATCTGGTTCTTCTCCGATTAATTTTTTTGTCAGGACCAGCTACATTCACCCAGAACAACAAATGGCTTGCCTACAATCCATATGATATTCCTCGTGTCATTAAGCCCAAGTTTCCCCAAATTGTGATGGTTGGGGGAGTGTCTTCATTGAGGGTGATGTCATGCTACCTCACATCTTCGAACAGGGTCTCAGGGTCAATTCGGATGATTATGTGGAGTTGCTGAACACTGTGGCCGAGTTTTGTTTGAAGAGGGTGAGTGCCATATGTATGGCAGCAAGATTCAGCTCCCTGACACACCTCCGCGTAGAGTTAGATAATTTTTACGACTTCATCAGCTCGAACGTCTATCCCCCTAACTCCTCTTGATAGTATGGTTAAAAAAAAAAGTCATCATCCGCACTGCCTGTAACACCAAGGCTCAGCTGATCGACAGGATTAGGAAGGTGTGTGAGGCTCTACCTAGGGACATCGTGAAGGTCGCATGTGCCTGATTCCGGAGTCGAAACGAGGCTGTGGTATATGGTGGCTTCGTTGAGTGATCTCTCTTTTGATTATTAAATTAAATGTGTAATTTGATACAACTGTTTAGTCCTGTCTTAATCATATACCTGATGGGTTCGATAAGGTCAAAATGGAAACTGATCTAAAAAAAAAAATGGCCTACAATCTGTTGTTAATTGGGACAAGAAATGACTTAATTTTAACGCCTCCTAAACGAAACTGCTCCCTTTTAATCGTCTTCGAGATCCGTTTTCGCATTCGATGAACATGGCTGATGCTAACCTTCAGAAGAGTGACACATTGTGCCTTCGCGGTGTAACATGTTCCGCTGATAATGAAATGGGAAGATTATATTGAATCAGTGGCTAGGTCTGCTGCTAGGGAATCTGGTTCCCTGTATCGTGCTAGACAATCTTTCTCGCTGAAATCTAACTTAAGTATTTATAAATCTAACACTCGTTCATGCATTGAATATTGCTGTCACATCTGGTCTGGTGCTTCTGCAATGTTATTGTTCCTGAGCTGGCATCTCGGCTTCAGACACATTTCCACCGCCGTAACATAGCTTCCCTGTGTCTTTTCTATAAATATTTTCGTTCTAATTGTTCTGACGAACCTTTCTCTATGGTACCTAGACTTTATGAATTTAAGCGCAGTACTAGATTGACAGCAAGGTCTCATTTGAAAGAGTTGAAATGCTAGATGTAACCTTAAGTTCCTTTTCTCGCACTTCTCGCTTGTAGAACTCTCTTCCTGCTTCTTGCTTCCCAGTCAACTTTGATCTTCAAAAATTTAAATGCAATGTCAATCGTTATCTTCGGTTCTCTTTATTCCTGTACTTTTACTGTCGTCTTTCTTTGATAATGTTTTTTTAATATTCTCTCACATCCTGTAACAATTTGCGTCTTAGTGGCTTTATTGTCTTCCTTTTGGTGAAATGATTAAAAAGAAATACCTACAAGGGACACTTAACGACTAATCGTTGTTTGCCTTGCAACCTGGTTAGTCAAATATCAACTTGCATCGTCGTAATTATCACACATTCTGGAGATGTCATTTTGCCAGACTTTTCGCTTCTTGTGCATGTGTGTGTTTCATTGGTAACAACCAAAACAATACCACGGGATAGAATGATGCTATCTTCGACTGCTGCTTGGCTTTTTGCTAAAAGATCAGATCTCGTCAGCATCTGATCTAGGTGACTCTTTTATCAATGCCTGCGACCAGGAACCTAAATCTTCGATGCTATCATCTTTTCTTAACTACCCATCTCTCTCTCTTTCTTCTTCTTCGTGTGCTTGAGTGCTTTCGTTCTTGTCTTTAGGGCCCAGAAGAAAACACACGCACACACACACACACACACACACACACAGGGACACACGCATACATGATAATTCAGAGATATTGTAGTAATCAAAGAAGCAGGTCCCCTTATCCCATATACGTGGAATCATTGAGTGGAATGTTAAAAGTTGCTGTGTTCAAATGCCATTGATAACCGAAGCAGCTGCCTGCAGAACAGGGCAAGTTTTCAGCTAAGAAAATTCGGTGAACTCGAAAAGAAATCTTTTGAAAACTGGCACAAGAAGCGATAGAAAGAGAAAGAATTCAGTCGAATAAAAGATAGAATAATATATATATATATATATATATATATATATATATATATATATATATATATATATATAGAGAGAGAGAGAGAGTATGTGTAAATGTACGAAATATTACAAGAGAAACAAATAAACAGGAAAGAAATAAGCAAAAATAAGAAAGCATCAAATAAGGCATTAAGGAAAGAAAGAAAGCTTCAAAGAAAGAAAAAAGAAAAGAAAAATGAAAGAAAAATTGAATGAAAAATAAAAGGAAAAATGGAAGAAAGATCTAAGGAAAAAAGAGAAAGAAATAAGGAAAAAATGAACAATAAATGAAAGAAAGAATGAAAGAAAATGAAAGAAAGAATGGAAGGAAAAATGAAAGAAAGAATGGAAGGAAAAATGAAAGGTAGAATGAAAGAAAGAATGAAAGCAAAAGCTGAAAAAATGATTGCAAGAATGAAAGAAAAGGAAAAATGAAAGAAAAAATGATTGGAAAAATGAAAGAAAAAATGATGAAGAAATGAAAGTAAGAATGATAGAAAAAGTAAAGCAGAAATGAATGAAGAAAAGGAAAAGAAAAGTGAAAGAAAAAAGCATAGGAAAAATGAAAGAATAAAATAAAGAGAGAATGAAAGGAAAATGAAAGAAAAAAGAAAGGAAAAATGAAAAGTAGAATAAGAGCAAAATCAAAGAAAGAAAATGAAAGTGTTGAAGAAAAAATATTTAAGATGAAAAATTGAAAAAGCTTCGAAGAAAAAAGAAATTAAATGAACGCTTCAAAGAAGGAAGGAAAGAAAGAAAGGTTAGAGAAAGCGACGAAGAAAGAATTCTTCAATAATAATTAAAGAAAATGAAAGCCTCAATGAAAGACAGCATGAAAGAAAAAAAATGAAAGTGAAAAGCTAAAATAAAAGAAGAGAAAGCTTAAAAGAAAAAAGAGGGAGAAATCCTTAAAGAAAGAAAAAATCAGAAAAAAGAAAGAAAAAAAAAGAAAGAAAGATAGAAAGAAAGTCTGAAAAAAAGAAGTAAAGAAAAGCCGAGAAAAACTAAAAGAAAAAAAAGAAAGAGAAGTCTTGAAGAAAGAACGAAAGAAAAGCAAAGAAGAAAGTCTGAAACGAAAAGAAGTAAAGAAAAACGAAACTAAAAGGAAAAAGAAAACTTAAAAGATAAAACAAAGAAAAATTCTGAAAGAAAGAAATCTTGACATAAAGAAAGAAAGAAAGAAAGAAAGAAATAGAAATCCTGAAAGAAAGAAAGAAAAAAAAAAGAAAACTATAAACCTCGCTTCATTGCTTTACTGTCACCTTGTAAACCATGGCATTTTTGTCGAAGTTAGTTCTCTGGTGATTAGCCTGTAAGGAATGTAAGAACTGAAGATTTCATGCCTTTTTTCCTCCAAGACTTGCGCAAAAGAGCATTTGTAGCATAGACTAATAGAATAGAATAAAATCAGTTGCGTTTATTATCCTCTTTCTTCAGGATTTACTTCGCAAATTGCGACATGACCAAAACATTAATCTAAAAACTCGAGTCATGCTTTTAAATAGCCTCGTCACCTCGAGATATTCAGACAGATGTCATGCATGGCACCAGACCTGTTCAGAAATATCTAAACTGTCAGCTGTATGTAACTGATTTCTCAGATCAATGGTTAAATATGGCTTTGAGCGATTGAAACATGTAGGTCTTACCGACGACCAGCCTTCTTCAAATCTAGTGGACTGGCGCTACGCAATTACAAACAAAGAACTGTACCAAATAATAGAAACCACATCAGTTGAGGAGTTTCAAAAATGGCAACAACTATAATATAATATATAAAATAATGAAGATGCTGATATAAACACTACTTCGAACTAAAGATTAAGAAGGAAACTCCGATCAATATACTGGAAAGAGCGATAACAGTTAATGGATGTAAAAAACCTATTTTTCGTGAAAAATTGTTTTAGTAGAAATGTTTTATAAATTTCAAACGAAAGTAGCACTCACTACTCGGTCAATGAATTCCTAATGTTTCCTTATAAGGAAACGGTTAATATTAAGATTACCATAGCTTTAGCACGCTGATTAGTAGTGATTTTTCAAGAGTAGCTTAGATGTGGCACAAGGCCGAAAGTGGGGGCACCCAGTGAAGATTGAACTCACTACTCAGTCGTAATTGATCAAGCGAGACAAGCTTGCTAACCATTACGCCATGTCGAAGCGCCCTAGCCCAGTGATTAGTAAACCTGTCTCTCCAAAGTGTTATCTATTGTCGTGAGTTTGATCTACAGCGGTTAAACAACATATGTGGATTTGTGATAAACTCACCTAAGCCGAGTAATTATAACTTCTATATTACCATGGTGACCAAACTGGTCTTGTAAATCATTTCACTGGATTAGTGAATATGGTCTGCACTAGGCGGCCTCCACATTTGTTACATTGGGTTTAAATAATTCCAACGCTTCATTTTTAAGTGAAGATTAGAAAGTTAGTTTCGAAAACCATTGCTGGTGTAGGAATTGTGATCTTCAATCTGTGTTCTACACTTCTGCCATTTTGCCAATGTTAACTAAATTTAATAAATGCATATTCTCTGTTTAATGTTTATTTAATTTATTTTATTTCTTTAACGGGATATCAACTCCGTATGGCTCACTTAACGGCGAAATGTAAATTTCTTGGGAGCTTTGAAGTGAGGAAAATATGATATATGTTATTCTGCTTTCACAGTTGAATACATGGTAGGTGATATTCAGCTTTTTGCAAATCTCGTGCAGGATTGTTCTCATACGAAACAGACATAAAAACTGAACTGAAAGACACACGTCGAAAACGACAGGTGAGTCCATCATATATATATATATATATATATATATATATACACACACACACACACACATATATATAAGTATTGTATATATATATATATATATATATATATATATGTATATATATATATATATATATGTGTGTGTGTGTGTGTGTGTGTGTGTGTGTGTGTGTGTGTGTGTGAAAATATATAGAAAATAGGAAAGAACTGATTAGGTAAATAATCCAAAAGTTCCTTAGTATTTTAGTTATTATTTTTAAAAAATAGTGCTCGATACAAAGTAGAGCATAAACATCTTCCGTTTCAAATTTAGACACCCCCACCTCACCCTGACTTGACATCTATGAAAGTAACTCTATACTGATACTTATTATTAACACCCAACACACGCCTACCCAATTTAAACAATTCGCCCTAGCTGTTACCATGGAAATTTTGATTTCAATTATTAAAAACGTAAATTTCAGAAATACGTTATTCCAAAAAAAAATTTCGCTTGAAGATGGAACAGAGCTTACTTTAACTCAATTTAATTCAAATAATTACATTGAAGTTTTTGGCTCTTGTTTTGAAACATGAGACCTCTTTATGTCGCGAGTTGGAATCATATTTTTAAATAAATAATTATATATATATATATATATATATATATATATATATATATATATATATCACATACAATGCTCATAGCTAGCTAGTATTAACACAAAGTACATTGTTGATAAGTTTGCTGCAGATAAGCGGTCGAGCGGTAAGCGAGACAAGTACCTCGCCACCAGTTGTGTCGATAGCATCATATTAAAAACAAGTTCCTGTCCTTATCTAGACTTCCAATTACCTGCCATACACAATCAAAGGGGCATACCGAGGATAACATTCATGATTGTTGTTTACGAAGTCAGTTGAACCTGTAACAATAGCGACATTTAGTACTGTTCTTAGACACTGAGTAAAGCACTGAAAATAATTTGTAGGCGATTATGTCCCTCCACGAATAATATTTCTTTAATATCTGTAAATTGTGAAATTCCATGATTGTTCTTGGGGGAAATAATCCAGCAGGTTCCCGTTGCATTCGTTACACTTTGGAATTTCATTTTCCTTCCCCTATACTGGCTGTCACTCAAGGCTGACCTAACTTGCTATTTAACTGGGTAAGGGAGAGAGTAAATGCATTCTTGTTTTACCAAGGGCATTCGAAAGTGAACGCAACCAACTAAATCGGAATTTGAATTCGGTTCGTCGATTTCGCTTTCAACGCTGATAACTGTTAGGCTACCTGCACTTCCACTGAAAAATAAAAACATAATAAGAATCAAAGATCCACTTAGTAAATGATATCATTCTGCAAAGCGGGTGCGATTAAA